AATTTGCTACAGAATAAAGATTTGCATTAAAACATAAATCAACTTTCTTTTCATGGTACATAGCAGATGGCGACGAGGAACTTTAATTTTGAACCCTTTGATGATAATGAAGAAACATGGAACAGCTACCTAGAAAGACTAGAAATAGCTTTTATATTCAACAATATTTCTGAGGAAAGCAAGACAATAACACTGCTACATGTTATTGGAAAGAAAACTTATGGAACACTTAGAGATTTGTTACAACCTAAATTGCCTACGGAGTTTTCGTATAAAGAATTAATTAAACAACTCACCAAACACTTTTCACCACCACCAAACGAAGTAGCAGAAGCTTTCAAATTCCACAATAGACGTCAACAGGAAGGTGAAGACATACAGCACTTTGCAACGGAATTGAAAGGATTGTCAAGATACTGCAACTTTGGCAACTTTCTCAACACAGCATTACGAAATCAGTTCATACAAGGATTGAGAAATGAAGCGATTCAAGCCAAATTGATCAGAGAATCGGTCTCAACTATGGACAAAGCACTGGAGCAGGCAACTACACTCGAGAAAGCCTACCAGGATGCAGCAACACTACACCGTGGTGATAACATATCAATTGGAGTTGACAAAGTAAGTAACAACATCCATCTTAATAAAGTTTGCTACAGATGTGGAAAATCACATACAACACCTTGTCCACATATCAACACCTTTTGTAATTATTGCAAAAAAATTGGTCATATTGCTAAAGTCTGTTTGTCAAATCCAAATGCAGTGATGAAATTACCAACTAAAAAGTTTGGAACTATTTCTACAACTAAAAATTTTAAAGCTGTACACAAAGAGTTAAATCTAACATCCGACACAGTATGTGTCCATGATCCCACACAATGTTTTTGATATTTTGTATAATTCCAAAGGTTCAAATGATAAGATCTTGCTAAAAGTTAATCTTAATGACCGACCAACTACAATGGAATTAGACACTGGGTCTGGAGCGTCAATCATGTCGCACTATAACTTTAAAAGAATGTTTCCAAGCCACAGACCATTGCAACCAAGCAATGTTATTTTCAGAGATTACAATAAACACTGTTTTTCTCCAATAGGTAAAACTATGGTAAAAGTTAACTATCATGGACAGACCAAAGTTTTACCTCTATACATTGTGGAAGGAGACCGTGATACTCTATTTGGTAGGGATTGGTTGAAACAAATAAAAATTGACTGGCAAGAAATCAACCAACTGAGTTCCAAAAATAACTTGGGCTTGGAAAATCTCTTAAAACAATATGAAAATGACCTATTTGTTAAAAACATAGGCAAACTTCAGGGATTGGAAGCACAACTTTATTTAAAACCCGATGCTAAACCAGTTTTTAAGAAAGCTCGATCAGTTCCTTTTGCACTCATTCCTAGAGTGAAGGAAGAACTTGATAGACTCGAAAGAGAAGGTATTATTTCTTCTAAAGTAGATTACAGCAGCTGGGCAACACCAGTAGTTCCAATAGTAAAGGCCAATGGTATTATACGACTGTGCGGTGATTACAAGTCACACTCAACCCATCTCTTCTTGTCCCTGAGTACCCAGTTCCAGCAATTGAACAAATCTTATCTAAAATTGGTAACAGTATCACTTACAGTAAAGTTGACGTATCGGAGGCTTTTCTTCATATGCCCATAAGAGAGTCGGATCGTTATTTGTTGACAATAAATACACACAGAGGTTTGTACCAATATAATAGATTACCATTCGGAATATCTGCAGCTCCTGCTATTTGGCAAAAAGCAATGGAGAAAGTTGTTGAAGGGATAGAAGGGGTACAAGTCTTTTATGACGATATAGTTGTTTCAGGCACCACTAACGAACAGCATCTTAGCCGTTTAAAACAGGTATTTGAGAGGTTCAAGCAGTACAATCTTAGAATTAATAGACAAAAATCAAGCTTTATGGTAAATGAGATTGAGTATTTGGGGTATAAAATTAGCAACAAAGGGATACACAAAACTCAAAAACTAACAGAAGCTATTGACCATTTGCCTCGCCCTTCAAACATACATGAAGTCAGACACGTCCTTGGTCTGATTAATTACTACAGAAGGTTCATTCCAAACATAAGTGAGAAATTATATCCTCTTATAAATCTCACCAAGTCATCTACGAAATTCTTTTGGTCTGAAGACTGTGAAAGAACATTCCAAAACATTAAAGAGGAAATGAAATCAGACATATTTCTTACTCATTTTGATCCTAACTTACCACTCATCTTAGCTACAGATGCAAGCCAGCATGGCATCTCAGTCGTTCTTTCACATGTTTATCCGGATGGGTCTGAAAGACCTATTGCAATGGCATCACGAACATTAAACTCCTCGGAAATGAAGTACAGTGTCATAATGAAAGAAGCATTAGCCATCTACTTTGCTGTAAAACGTTTTTATTACTTCCTGTATGGCCATCACTTTACTCTTTTCACCGACCACAAACCATTGACATATATATTTGGTAACAAAAAAGGTATACCAATTCTAGCAGCTACTAGATTACAAAATTATGCTGTTTTCCTCCAAGCTTTTAATTTCGACATCAAATACAAATCTACTGATGAAAATGCCAACGCAGATGCCTTATCCCGTTTACCTTCAAATATTTGCCAAGATGTTAACCAAATAGACAACGTTTATGTTTTTGAAATACAACAACTCCAAACCCTTCCCGTTTCAAGCAAACTAATAGCAGAAGAAACTCAAAAAGATCAGGAACTGTCAGACATCTATGAAGCTCTTAATGAAGGAAAGCTCATAAACCATTCAAGCGAGTTCAGAGACACTGAATCAGAATGGAGTTATCAAATGGGGTGCTTATTTAAAGGACATAGAGTTGTAATACCAAAATCATTAAGAAACAAAATTTTTCAAGAACTTCATGAAGCACATATAGGTATGGTTCGGATGAAAGCTTTAGCTCGCTCCTATGTCTGGTGGTTTTAATATTGACCATGATATTGAAACATTGGTTCGAAATTGCAAAAATTGTCAAGAGCATCGTAATGATCCAACCAAAGTACCTGTACATCCATGGTCTGCTCCTGAAAACCCTATGGAGAGAATTCACGTTGACTTCGCTGGACCATTTATGAACAGCTACTTTTTAATTATTGTGGATGCGTACAGTAAATGGCCAGAAGTTATTCCAATGAATTCTACAACTACAAACAAAACCATAGACTGCCTGCGAACATTCTTCAGCAATTTTGGCATTCCACCTATCTTGGTTTCAGACAACGGTCCACAATATACTTCTCAAGAATTTAAAAACTTCTTAGAACTGAATGGCATATGCCATAAACGTTCTGCTCCATATCATCCAGCTACCAATGGGCAGGTCGAAAGATATGTTCAGACCTTAAAACAATCCCTTAGGTCTATGAAAGATGAACCTGGTACCCTTAACCAAAAGGTTGCCAGATTTCTCATGGCATATAGGAGAACACCTCATGCAACTACAGGGTTAACACCTGCTCATCTTTTCATCGGCAGACCGTTGAGGTCAAGGCTTGATTTGACACTTCTTAACTCTTCAAATACTTGCACAAATGACCAGACTATCCAACAATCTTATGGGTGGAACTTTAAAGAAGGAGACTCTGTTTCTTTTAGAATCTACGGAACGCCACAAAAGTGGAGATTTGGAAGGATTCTACAAAAACTGGGCACGCGCCACTATAATATTGAATCTGGAAATTCCACCTATAGGAGACACATTGATCAAATAAGATCGGTTGGTTCAAATTTAAGCGGTGAGAAGGACGACAGGGACTACTTTATCAATATCAAACTTCCTCTAGGGTCTACTATTCAAGATGAAGAACTTCAGGGAGCAATGTTCAACAACCATACTGAAGATGAAGCTCGCTTTAACCAACCTCTAGCTCCTCTACCAAACGGTGAAGCCTCAAACCCTGTTTTAAGAAGAAGCTCAAGGAAAAAACAACCGGTTACAAGAATGAATATGTGATTCTAAAACTTAGAGGAGAGGTGCTGTGTTCTACCAACTGTTTCCTAATTTCTTTTATTTATCATATGACTTTGTTTACATTAATTTGTTTTTGCTACAGAATAAAGATTTGCATTAAAACATAAATCAACTTTCTTTTCATGGTACATAGCAATGGACAAACAAATTCCAGGCATGCAATTAATTGTCTGGGTAGCCGAGTGATTATAGTGCTCGCCTTCAAATCGGAAGTTCGCTGGTTCGAATCCAAGCGAGATCGTTTCCAGACCCAGATGCTATTTGTCATTGGGCTATGAATGATGCTATCTAACAAAAAGGTCGACGTTAGGTAGTAACAGGACCAGGGTTTGGAACGTTCCCTTTCAAAACGTAAAAAATGCCACTGGCGTAGAAACACACAAAACAAATAAAATAAATGCAGTTATTAATTGTCAATTGGCAATTTGTTTACATTGAAATACCAACTACATCACTTCATAGGTTTTGAAAACGTGGATACTGAATAATATAAAAAGAGTTGTTTTCGCAAGAAAAAAAAACTATCCTGAGTACATGTTATTTCTTTATAATATACAACAATTTATGCGCTTCTTTATCAAAACAAAAACGTGTAAGACTGTTATATTCTTAGCAATGGACAGAACATTAAAATAAAACATACAACCGCTGGAATAGTCGGAATATTTCAATTACGGATTAAGCTGTAAAGAAGCACTATTCAAACTAAAGAAAATTCACAGCGGAAATTTGCAAAAATATTTGTAACGTTGAGATGTTATGTATATTTTCAAAATTAGTTCAAAATCGTTAAAAATATCCCACATGTGCACATAAACATAGGATCAAAGATTATAAAGAAACATTTCGTGTTAACTCACACAAATAATGAAAAACTACTATTTATTGTTATGTTCAATACATTTAATAAATTACGTTTTCATCTTTTATAAGTTATCACAACATTGAAATAGTAAAAACACGATTTTAAATTTTAATAACGATTGGGGATTTCTTCTTCGCAGAAATACCGCTTCGTCTCAAAGCAGTTCCAGCCGTCGTTCCACTGATACGGTTTGCCGCCGGGCCAAAGAGGTCGGTTGCTCTCTTCTGGTACGGCTTCCACACAGACCTCAGAGAAGTCCCTTCTTCCCACAAGGTTAGGCTCTCCAGGCAACCAATCAGGCAGCTCCAGCTCAGTTCCATCCATCCACTTAAACTTTTTGTCTTCAGATTTTAAACCAATCCACAGTTCCACGATGCGAGAGCCTGGAACAAATTGTAGGGATAGACCATGATTGTAGTATAACGTTTATCATGGAACTAAATAGGTACGGAGGTAAAGTTGTATGATTGCATTTTGGATCAAAACTCGTTTTTTGGCTAGACTGTGAAAGAAGAGTCCACCATCAGTGCCTATTTTGTTCTATTCACTTAAATTCAATATACATTTTCATTTACCTAGTCTATCTGTCTACCTGAAATTGTTTATAATGATTGATAAATCTTTGTTTACCGATCATCGTGATGTTTATAGTGTACTCGTATACAGATAGCTTACTGTGATCAATGAATAAAACTAGGTGCCCGTGCTAGTAAAAACTTGACGAATATTACTGAATATTCAATACCTGAAAGATTGCCGAGAGAATATGTTAAAAGGGGCGGGTAGTAAAAACATCAAATTTATGATACCACATTTAAAGTATTGTTTTATATTTCGCTACGAAGCTAAATAAGTTATTAGTCATATGTAACTGCTAGACTAGGCTTTGTAATCAACACTACTAATCAAAAATAAAATAGTATTTTTATCTCACCCAAACTTATTGCATATCTATTAACGGCTTCTTCAAACTTTTTCTGCTGTTCTTGATTGAATACAACAGCTAGTTTGTGTCCCTTAGCTTGGCAGTTGTCACTTGCTTCTTGCCATGTGACCTAGAAATAAATAAACAATTAAAACCATCTTCCTTGTAGAAACAAAATCATCCTTTTATTACGTTCATAATATTGTTGCTTGACAAATAATATAATTAATATTTCGATATAATTAAATTATTTTTTTTTTTATTACACAAATGTAATAAAGGTAAGCAATCAAAAATTCCCCAAATGATGGTTTGAACGAGAAGTTAAATTTTGGATCAAACATTTTATTTGACAGAGTGACAAAACTACAGAACAATAGAGGAGATAAACAGCTGATTCCCCTCCCCCAAGGTCAACACCATCAAGGAGGCATCGGCTAACCTACACTTTTATCAAACCCCGCAGTATGGTTTTGTCCTTGGCCGGCCTCATGCGCATGTACATGATTTGTAATTATAAATGTTTTCGTATGTGTTTATGAGTATGTGTGAAGTAATTTTTACGACAGCTTGTGCAAGAGAATATGTTTGACATATGACGACTGAAGAGAAGTTTTGAAAATGGGATTTTTACCCCGAAACTATAGTCATCCACGACAATAGAGGACTGATTGACGACATGTTAGTAACCTCATTTTATGTGAATATGGGTAATTACGATGTACATTGATTCAATGAGGGTGGTTAATTATCAAGGATATTAGAACTGATAACAGTATGGATAATAAACAAAGACTATCACTATCTTTACTAGCGTGTTTACTTTTTTAATTCCTTCAACATGTAACCAGTTCTTTTTTTCAAATGAATGTTATTTTAACCAAACGGCTGAGTCAAAACAAACTATATGTTGTTGTTTTTACTTTTCTTTGTTTACACTTATTTATTTAGCAAATGATACAGTGAAATTGATATAAAGGATAGGTGTGGACGATTCGTTTGATGATGTCAGGAAACCAACGTTATATTATGTGTGCTGTGAATTTTATTGGATATTTTCGTTTTATTTTAGGGAGTTTCTATTCAGACCTACTGGAAATTGTGCATAGTATGAGTAGAGGGAAGGACGGTTATTATCACATGACGTCATAATTAATGTGATTAGGTAAGTATCTAGAGATGGGGAGTATCGTAGTCAGGGCTGGGCATGTACTCTGGTGATGTGTGTGATCACAGATGTTGTAGACGGTATTGTTATTAGGTCAAGGTCGTTTGAATATGTTTTTAAAAAATATTCTGCACTAATGGATAAATAGTGCAGAATATTTTTTATTTTATTTGTTCATTTATTTTTATTACAATCATAAATAGTAATAATAATGTACAGTAGTTATATCTAAGTTAAATCTAAGAAGTGTTGGAATCGTTCTTCGTCGTAGAGCTGCTGCTTCCGTATAATATGTTGAATGCTGATGAATGGTCGGTATCAAATTTTCTTCGATTGGGGCATGGTGGTTTGTAAGCTCCGTAGTCTGGAAGCAGAGTGCTGTTAGCTGTTGTTGTTATTGTAATTGCATACCCACTTGCAATTAGAACTCTCAACTCTTCAGGAAAAACCTCAATGTCATGGTAGGTTGAAATGTAAACATCGTCGTACTGGACAAACTTAACTTTGAGAGACATGATTGTTGTGTTGAGCTGAAGTTGCCTCTAGCAAGTCCTCAGAACGATTGAAAGCATGTAACTACCTTCATGTATTTATAGGTAAAGTCAATCCCCCCCCTAGCTACCCCAACCACTAATCTTTCCGAAGGAGGCCTCGTATTACACCATAAATATTTTCATCACAGAAATAATAGGGGTTCTGCAATAAACACAATCGTCAACACTTAGAGCACACGTAATGCAGCTGCAAAAATGCTTGCAAGGTAAAAACACAATTTCCCTTTCTGCGGACAAACATACTATGCACTCCGAGCGTTGTTTTTGCACCGGTTCGTTTGTTCCCAAGCCTTTGGTTGAGCATCTCTTTTTAACTATAGCATTGTTATTTATTTGCTTGGAATGTTTGTCCACAAAGACTTGTCCCTTGTTAACAATCACAAAGGGACATCTTGGAAACCATCGCGCATGTTCTTGCCATGGATCGTCTTCTTCTTGCCAATCCTTTAATCCTCCTCCACAGTAGTAACATATAGTTTCATCATTCTTCCCAGTGTAAAAAAATCCAGCTTCGGATAATTCCCATTTGGAATTGTTTACGACAGAGTTAAGTAGACTTTTTTCAAAAGAATTCAGCCTAGTTTGAAAGTGGGTATAGTTTGGAAAGGCAGTCTTAATCTTCAAAATGGTTGCAGACATGTTAAGGTACTAGATGGCTTGCTACGATCCAAATTATTAAAGCCCAACTGTTAGCAACGTTTTATACGCAAATAAGAAGAGGGGTGGGGGTTAGCTCGTATGTAATTGTTTGTAAAATTTTGTTTCTGATTTAGGCCAAGGTCATCCATATTAGTTTAAAAAAAATATCATGCTAGTATTTTAAACAAAATACTAACATCAGCTAGTATTTTAAACAAAATACTAACATCATACTTTATAACATTTTATTTATATACAATCATATGTACAATATTCTAACAACAGTGCAGAGACAGTTCTGTAGAGTTGTTTTCACTAACTCCATGAGACACCAAATAGAGAGAGCCAGGTTCTATGCTGCGTAGATCCTCATTCTGTAACATGTTGACAAACCGTTTCGGAAGAAACATTTGGAACTTTGGTTCATCTCCTGGAGTAAAAGGTGCATCGCTTAAGGAGACTAAAATAGCATCCCCAATAGATGTTTCCATTTTCTTCATTGTATGCACAATATAATGTTTTTGTTCCTTAAGTTCCGAACACTTTTTAGTAATTAAAACACTTGACTTTGAATGAGTGTTGAACTGATCAACAAGGTTCTGGAGTTGAGATGCCATCTTTATCGGCTAAGCTATAGGTGTTTTCCTTTCTTAGGCTAGAACAATACTGATGTGTTGTCTGCACACTTTCCTCATATTTATACCCATCGATTCCCCCACTACCACAGCTCTTCTTTTGGTTTAGGAATGATGCTAAACGGTATGCAGTTTTTAAAGCACAATGACCTTGACGATGACATTTGTTTTTGCCTGCAAGACAAATACTGTCAAAACACACTTTAAATTGTGAGTCAATCGGTACATCAATCACGTTGCCAATGGTATATTTTTGAATCCAGTTTCGTTTTTCCAAACCTTTAGTGTATATACGGTTGAATTTCGCACAATAGTGGTACATTACATCATCGATGGTGTTGTAATCTAAAAAACCTTCGTTCCATGCAATGTGATGAAAATTCCTAGTAAGCCATTTATTAGTTAACTTGGCTTTGGTATTAAGTTTTTTAAAAGGATGTGGTGGTTTTAACATAAAGGGATAGACAACGTATGTTAATAAATCTAAAATTACTAACTCCTTAACAACATATTCATTTGTATTTCCACGAAAAGCTTGGAACTCAATCACACATGGTTTCTCTTCTATTGTTTTAACTTTGTCTGAGAACCATACCCTCTGCTCCATGGTAAGATTGTTAAGTAACTGATTTCCACACCACGGTAGGTTTTATATCTATACCAGGCCGTACAGTTAAGGCGCGTTGATGTATATTTAACGTGGGCATCATCCCCAGTAGGCCTACCCCACGAGGTTAAATTAGTTTTTTTTATTTCAAACCATTACACACTTAGATGGGCTGTGTTTCTTCAATAGTTTCTTTTACTTAATTTGTTGTGGTCTTATAAATCTCATAGTCTTTTATACTCCGCCACATTTCAACCTCATAGGAGATTCGATTAAAAATTGATGTATCGATCGGTCCGTGTAGAATCTGGGAGTCGGGGTATTGATCCATAGCATCCACTAAATATTCTTTTATTACAGAGCTTGAAAATGTTAGTTGTTTCATGTATCTTGTTACGGGTGAAGTGGCACAACTCAAAACATAAAATTCTTCCCATGTTAGTTGAATCTTAATATCATGTTTTGATAGGTCTCTGAAACGTATTTGCTGTCCTCCACGATACTTATAAATATCTATTTCTATGTCACAATCCAATAACCGAATAGCCGTTTTTTTACCAAACATGTTTTTAGCCAAATAACATTCGATTAAGTGCAAATGTTTTATGAATGAGTCCCATGCATTCTCCGAAAACAACAACATTTTTGATCCATGGTTCAAAATTGCGTTAGGTGTGTATGACAAGTCCTTCACTAATCCGATTGCAATGCCATTAGTCATACATCTTGAAATTGGGTAAAATATACGGAGGAAAATATCCATCAACATATTAAGAGGAAGGTCGTCTTCGGGGGTTTTCTTCCTCTTTAGAACTGAGTTAGATGCAAAGACATTGTTTTCACAAGTGTTCAAATCATTGTTATCTTGAGTATGGAATTTTAGAAACTCTGATAGTTCATCTTCACAAAGCTTAACTTTTGCGTCATATTCTTCTCCTCCAACCACCACCTCTTCTTCCACTTTGGTACTGCTTTTCTCTTTGTCCGTTACAGAATTCATGTCTACCGTATTATATGTTGCTTCAACCACTGACAAATATATACTGAATCCTTGTTTAAGTGCCTGCTATTTACAACTTGTCTTGCTGTGGTTTATAAAACCATCTTTACTATACCTGTTAAAGGAGTGTATGTCACAATTTTGTCATGAAGAATCAAACAGTACGCACTTGTATTAGAAGGTATGTTGGATTCAAACTCCATTTCTAATTTTATATCCACACTAGAAGATTTGACGGATTCATTTTGTTTTGAACAATCAATAACCACGATAGGAGCTTTTAAAATAAATTCAGTTGGGGATAGTAAAGTTGTGTTTGCCTTGCCATAATATGAAGATTGAAATCTAGCATACATATCGTATAAAATACTATACCGCTTCTTTCCAAAAGAAACATTTACATTGTCGTATGGGAAGAATTGAGAGTTAAGGTACAGTTTACAGTTTTTAAGTTTACAATGATCGAATAACGTTGCATCAGCAGTTATGTTACTCCTTCTGTCTGTTTGCAGCCCAACTATCACATATCTAGGTTTTTCCAAATGATTAGAAGTCTTTACAGTCTATGTATGTCTTTCTGTCTCCGGTAGAATAGGGTATTCATGCAATTCCCAGCTTCTGAATGGTAGAACGATGTCACGATCAGCTTTCAACTGCCTTAAAAGTGTAATCCTGTGTTCATCTGTCAGTTTCAGGTGTGGGACTCTCCAGACTATCTTATTCAAGTATAATTTCCATTCCAAAGCTTCTTCGGTCGTTGATTGAGGAGCTATGATAAGGTCTTTGTAATTTGAAGATCGTAACAGGACCAATTCTTGTTTTACGTTAATCAATATCTTATTGTAATCCCCAGCAAAACCTAGTAACAGCTTTAACGGCACAGAAAAATCAAAATTGCCATCTGCGTTAGGTTTTATGGAATCTGAACTGGGATGAACCCATCCAGCAACCTCTAGTAAATTTCTTGTGTTTGGTGATAATGAGCATAGTCCTTTCAGTGTACTAGATATTCCTACTCTTTTTGTAGAGTCTATGGTCACTCATGAAATTTCATACCTTATTTCATCAAAAAGAAAAGCCATTGGGTTACTAACGAATGGGATTGTTGTTCCTATAGTTCCATCCTTTTTTGTTACTGTTCCTTCGATGTATAAACAACTCTCAGAAGGAAGGGTGTAGACATCTTGCTGTTGGATTGGGATTCTAATTTCATCGTTATTGTTTAATTTCGATGAAGCGTAGGGGTTGTGGGTGTGATACTCCTTTTCCCATAGAGTCTCGTCGAAAGTTGGACCGTGCGTTATATCCAGTATATCCATTATTTTTTACATGCAGACCGATATCCTGTAGAAATTTTATGTTTTCAACTGTTAACTCTTCTGATGCAGGTGGCCTACTAACTCTTAAATCACCAGTGCTCTTCTTTTTAAAGGATAGTCCCATTATTCATAAACTGTGTTAACATAAGAAAATGAACAGAAGTTTTGCTTTCCTTCTAGAATCAAAGGGGTCCTGGTTTCATCTAAAATATAAATGAAGATGTTTGATATAATATAACTACTATTCATTCTGTAAAGTATCTGATTTTTTCTACTTATTAACAGGATATGTGAAGAATTTTCCTAATTTGATATCGAGGGTTCAGAATGATATTTCGATAAATTATCAGGTTGATGACCATCATATGCAGGTTTGATAATGCGTTCTTGTTCATTCCAAACAAACTTTGATCCCATGTATGTTATAAGCCGATTTCTTACCCGATATACATGTGTGTGAAATTTGTAATCTTCACCACGATAAGTTGCAAATCCACTTATACTACTATCTTTAGCTATTATTACAGGATTTAATGGATTATTTACAACCAAGTCGAATTCCTTATCACCACATTTAAATATATCTTTTTCCTGGTCGTATGTCAATGTTTGGCTAACAGTGCTTACATCATCTTTGTTGATTCCTTTAGCAACATTAGTGATTCTTCTATTTTTAGCATCAAAGCAACATCCTTCAGGAGGAGAAATTGACTTTTTTACTTCTTTTACCGCTTCCTCAAGACCGTCATTAGAAGATTTCAACTTTCGTGTTAATGTGGAAAATTGATCGCTTAATTCTTTCAATTTGTCCAACTTTTCATCTATGTTAACGAGTTTTTCTTCCACATTTTTTAAATTTAGTTTATTAACATAGTAACGGTTTAAATAGCCTTTTGTTACCGGCTGACGTGCTGTTTCATAATCAGATGCAACCCTAAATCTTTTAATATCTTCATCATCTTCGTCAATATCATCTTCCAGCTCTACTCGTCTCTCACGTTTTTGTGCATACAAAGAGTGGCCGAATTTGTCAATAACGTGATGCCTTATCATTTCAGGTGTTCAACTTTCAATGTGTACAAACATAATAATGATTTTCCAAAAGAAATTTACTTATATATTGAAACACAATTGTAAATGGTTTTTTTCACACTACTTATTTTTCTTTAAGTGTAAACAAACTGTAATTCTTTCATTTCTGAAATCTACCAAGTCTATTGTCTTGGTCCATGATTTTTAGTGTAATGTTACTGATTGTCCGGGTAGTAATTGGCAAGTAAATTACAGGATTAGGTATCTCTACCAGTTTACAACCAGGTGGTACAGCGGGAAAGAATTGGAAAATCATATGACCTTGTTTGTTATTAATGAATTATCCGGTGGCTATATTACAATCTATTCTTACTGTGTTAACTTTAAAAATGTCTACAACGTTTTCTGAGTAATAACTGATTCCAGGTTCAGCTTTAATACTACCGAATCCTAATAGTTTTCCAATGGAATTAGGCTTAGAAAAATCTACTTCCACAGTACACTTTAACATAGATTTTAAAGTATTGTTGTTGGTTCCTAGTTGGATATAGTATTTCTTTTCCTTTGTTGTTATTTTTTGGAATTTTTCTTGTATATAGTCTCTTATGTCCTGCACCTCATATGCACCTTTTGGAATAGTTATTACTTTATCTTTATCGAAATGAAACAGGTTGTTTGTTTCATCAACGTTTAGTATTGAGTTGTACGATTCAAAACTGAGAAGACCGATTTCATACTCATCAAGAGAACTCAACTCAATAGGCGGGAAATAATCGATAGAGAGCACAGAGCTCCTACCTGATAGTGTTAGGGTCTGAGACATAACTGAATGCTATAGGTTAATTACCACTTATTTATAGACAACTAATGATTTTCTTTAAAAATTCTAAACACAAATGGCCACATATTGATGTATCTTCTGGTTGTTGTCCATCATAGTTATAGTATACAATTTTTGAAGATTTGAAATATTCAAGAAGTTCCTTCGGAGGTGGTAAGTTCCCAAAACTGTCAAAGTAGTAAACTATTTCACCAAGTTTTTTGTAACAAACCCAATGAGTGCCAGGACCACTAGCATTATCAAGATTCACTATACCAGTCTCGTTATATTTTACTTCAGATGGTAGTTCATCCTTCATAAAAACACCTCTGAAGAAAGGTATGCGTAAACAGCTAGCGTATCTTAAAAGCTCAATATTGCTTAAGGATTTATCCGGAATTATCAACTTATTCCTCTTGTTTAATAAACACGGTATGGCCTTAGATATAACCCTCCTCCGTTCTTTATCATAGACCAAATTGTAGGTTTGTTCTTTTTTTTCTATGAGAAGTTCTGTTTCGTTTCCTTCTTATATTTCCTCCATGTTTCTTAACATTACTATGTCTTCCTTTTCTCCTTTTTCCTCCACCAAAAGCTGTTTTCCTTTCATTGCTGCCGCTACTGCTAACGCTGCTGCTTTCTCTCCAATACTACTATCACTTGCTTTTACACGTTGCCAAGCTTTCTCAGCAAGTATTTTGTCAGCTACTAATCGGTCTTTTAAATTACCAAATTTTGAATATGCTATATCGTGCTCTTTACAAGCTTGATCGAGCTTATTTATTCCCGGATCTCCTCTAGCAAGGCGTTTTTTTAAATTTTGTTCCAGGACCACAGTACTGATAACCACCAATTAAATGCAATTCCACAGGCAGTAAATCAATCGCTTTGTTGACTAATGCTCCAACTGGTTTAGTTAGTATAGAAAGTGCCGTCGATGTTATTCCCCTTCCTCTCTTGAAGGTCTCTCGACTGCGAATGGCACGGTTGTGGTTTAACATTTGTTTTTATAGTAAAATCACAAATGAAGAGTGCACTCTATAAATATGTATCAACGAATGATTAATAAATAGTTTTTCTTTTAATTTATATGATTTGTTTAATAAACACTGGTAATTAAACTGGTCTATGTAAGCTTTTTACACAAACAATACAGTGTATTAGCACAACAATTACTTCTTTATAATTTTAATAAATAAATAGCATTTATTAGTATTACTCAATTATCCCTCGATTGCGCAGTTCATCTACCAAAGCTACCCATTCGTTTTCTAACCCTGAATGACCAGCTTCAATAGCTTCACGTATCAATTTCATTCTATCAATTAATTTGTTTGCATTGTTGTAATATATTACGTTAGTGTTGGAGCAGTCTTTAAATAGTCCTTCGCCAGAATAAGTTGAAATATCATCTTTCCTTTTTCTCTTATGAATTGTATCAATGTCGATTGATGACATTGCCCTTCTTTTAACTCTTTTGACTTGTGATGGGAATAGTTCTGAAATGATAGTTGTGTATTTAACAGATTGGTTTCTATGTATTGGTAAATTAGAGTTGTAACCTTTTCTATGAAGGTTTGTTTTATCACAAATGTTTTTAAATAAAACTAAATCTTTTTTATTATATTTACCAGGCTTGTTTTTAAATATAAGTTCGAATAAACCAGGTGTCCCCTTATATTTTTTGTTTCCTACATGTATAATATCATTTTCATCAATGTCTAGCTTACTATTTCCAATCATTAGTCCTTTTTCTTCAAGTCTAGCACCATACACATGGTATTTTCTGTTAGCATTTGTAGAATGTAACATTTTTAATAAATACTTCC